AAACTCTGGGTCAAAGGTGGCTCACCTACAGATTCTCATTCCAGCCTGTGAGATGGAGAAAAGGAAGAGTGGGGCATGCTCTCCGTTTTTAAGGTCCTGACCTCTGCACACAAAGTTCCCTCTACTTCCTGCCCTGAGTAAGACCTGGCTTTTCCTGACAGTCCTTGAAACCCTTCCCAGGGGATGGTGTCCGTCTCCCACCCTCATGGTGTCCTCTGTGCTCCACACCTCCATTACCAGATCCGCAGTCCTCTATCTGTGTAAGCGCTGAGGCTCCGGGCATCTGGCTGTGCCACCTCCTGTGCCTTCTCATTGATGATGCCTGCTCATCAGTCAATCAATCAACCCCTATTCTCAGAGGGCTTTGGTAACTGGCTTGTACTTCTCACCCCAGTTCCTACCGCCATATCAGTGACTTTAATGACCCAGGACCTGGCCAAACTTCTGGCCCCCTCAGCTCCTGCGCCTTCTTATTCCAGCGACCTTCACCTCCACTCCACTTAAGCCACCATCTCCTTGGACCATGTTTCTCCTGAAATGAATCTTCCTCTAAAGTCTCACATTTCTCTGATCACAGACTTGTACCTTCTGTTCTTTTGATCGTTCCAGCTTAGCAGTTCTTTGAACTGTGGAATCCCTTGGCCCCTCCACTTTCTTCCTCTCAGGACCCTCCTTCCTCCAGTTCCTTTCCCTTCCAGCCTAGATTCCATGATCTTCGCTCTACCCAGTCATGGACGTTGTGAACAACTCGCTGACATCCATTCCAACCCAGGTGGTTGGTACAAGTGGGTCATGGTCATTCCCTGTCCCTTATCAGGAGAGGAACAGGCGTGCGACTCACTTCTAGTACCAGAGAGTAGCGCGAAGTGGGGTGAAGAGGACTGTGGGAAAGATTTTCCCATGAAAGAGACACAAGAATTGATCTTTCCTACTGAGGAGGAACTCAACAACAAGGCTGGCAATGCAGAGAGACAGAAAGAACCCAGATCCTTGATGATGTTGTCAAGCCACCAAATCAACCCCGACTGAAGCTTGTCTTCCCCCAGGACATCCCAGTACATGAAATAATAATTTATGTCATACTTAAGCCCGCTTGAGTCAGGCATTCTGCTACTTTCAGACAAAAGCACCCTAAATAACATAATTTGCAACTTGCAGCAAAAGCCCAGTCCTGGATCAATGTAAATTTCCTTCCATTCTGTTTTTATACCTGTTCTGTTTAGACTGGAGGAGAAAACAATAGGCTCTCCATCCTACAGAAACTCAGACGTCCCTCAACCAACCACCATCAGGAGAACCTTTCCTCATCCATCTGCAGCCTTTGTTTAGGGCTGCAGAAGAACTGGGTTGTTATGCGAAGTGGCCAGCTGTCGTGACCAGGAAATAAATATTTTTAAAAGCTCTCAAGGATAGCATAGGCTTGGGTAGAGGGAAACGGGAGATCTTGAGGTTAAAAGAAATCCAGCATTCATAAGAAGGTGCAGTAGTTATACCCAGATTAAGTTGAGTGAACCAAGTCATTAAGCAGCTGAGTTGTTAGGGGACAGAGACACTTCCTGCCCTGTGCCGTGGCTCAGCGGGGGTTGCAAGCCCCATGGAAGGGTGACCTATGGGCAGAGCAATAGAATCAGCCTTGTGCTCCTGTATCTTGGGCCTGGCATGTTACTGCCCACACATGTCGACACCGTAACAAACATAGTGGATGCCAATGATGACACCTCCTAAAACTATGTGAACCAGTGGCAGGTCCTGGTGGGTTGCTGGGTGTGGAAGTGGGAGGCAGTTCCCGTTGATGGGAAGGCCCCAGGCCCCTACCACCATAATCTCAGCCACCTGGACTGTTGGCAGTAACAAATTCATGATCTCTAATTCTTACCACCACCCCGGAATTCCTGCTTGCCCTGTTGGCTCTCTCCTCCCGTTCACCATAGCAACGATTTTGAATCTTCTCCACTCATCCCACCTCCCACCTGCCTGCCTTCCCTCTCACTGTCAGGCAACTCTGCCTCCTATTTCTTTCTCTTTTCTTTCTTTTTTTTGGAGACAGGGTCTTGCTCTGTTGTCCCGACTGGGGCGCAGTGGTACAGTCACGGCTCACTGTAGCCTTGACCTCCCAGGCTCCAGTGATCCTCCCACCTTAGCCTCCCAAGTAGCTGGGACTACTCTGCCTCCTATTTCACACAGAATTTTTTTTTTTTTTAATTTTCATTTTGTTGCCCTGGCTGGTCTCAAACTCCTGGCTTCAAGTGATCCTCTGACCTCAGCTTCCCAGGTAGCTGGGACTACAGGCATGAGCCGCCACACAAGGCTTCACATGAAGTAGATGCCACCTATCTGATTGGGACTATCCGTACATTCCTTGCTTACCTGCAACTGTTGGAGCATGGTCCCGTTGAACTTCCTGTAATGCTGGGCTGCTTATCTTTGCTGTATATCTGGCTGAACATCTTTGCTGTTCAATATGGTAGCCACTAGCTACATGTGAATATCAAACTATGGCTTGTACAGGTGAGAAAGTGAATTTTAAATTTTACTTCATTTTAATTAATTTAAATTGAAGCAGGTGTGAGTGGCCGCCCTATTAGGCAGCACCAGTTTAGCATAACTAAAAGAAAAACATTTTTGGATACCAAGGCACTGGGGTTTCTGCCAACCCTTTGACATCACTAGGCAATAGACTCTTGACCAACTTATTATAAGAATGCTGAATTAGGTGATGAGAAGGAAGCAAGAGAGAGTTAAAAAATCACATTTGGCCAGGTGCAGTGGCTCATGCCTGTAACCCCAGCATTTTGCGAGGCTAAGGTGGGCGGATCACTTGAGGTCAGGAGTTCGAGACCAGCCTGGACAACATGGCATGATGCTGACTCTACTTTGGGAGGCCGAGGCGGGCAGATCATGAGGTCAAGAGATTGAGACCATCCTGGCCAACACGGCGAAAGCCTGTCTCTATTTAAAAATACAAAAATTAGCTGGGTATGGTGGTGTGCGCCTATAGCCCCAGCTACTCGGGAGGCTGAAGCAGGAGAATTGCTTGAAACCGGGAGGCAGAGGTTGCAGTGAGCCGAGATCACACCACTGCACTCCAGCCTGGCACCTGGAGACAGAACAAGACTATGTCTCAGGAAAAAAAAAAAAAAAAAAAATTAGCCAGGAGTGGTGATGTATGCCTGTAACCCCAGCTACTCGGGAGGCTGAGGCAAGAGAATCACTTGAACCTGGGAGGCGGAGGTTGCAGTGAGCGGAGATCACACCACTGCACTGCAGCCCAGGTAACAGAATAAGACTCCATCTGCAAACAAAAGGCACATTCATTGAGAAATTGCCCTAGAGGAATATAGAGGAAAAAAAATATTGCTTTGACATGCTTTTTCAATCGTGGCAGTTATCAGGAAAGAAACCACAGTGACGTGGTCCACGGTGAACATCGGTTCCATGGCTGGTACATGGCTCTGTACACCTGGCCGAGAAGAAAAGCCTTGCATCACGGCTGCGAAGGCCCACCGGTACTGACATGTTCACAGTCTGTGGGAGGAAGACTGGAACACCAGCCAGGTGGAGGACAGTGTGAGGGGTCATCATCAGTTCAGTAACTTCAAAGGGCGTCCTCTTTGCCTTTTCTGCCCTTCATGCAAAATGTGCACAACACAAGCGGATTGGTAACTTGCATGTCCCATTTCGGGTAGCTGATGTTGCTCACTTTTGGAGACTCTCCTCCCGGGGCCGTCCTGGAGAAATAGCTGAGAACGCAAACCAGCTGAACGCTCCTTATTTTCTTAAGCAGTAGATAGCTGTAAAAGCTCTATTTCGTTTCTTAAACAGTTTCCTTCAGTCTCTTAACCTATAGGTATGCTAGTTTACGAGGACTCCAGATGGCCTGGGAGCTTTAGAACCTGTCACCAATTATCAGAGGAAAGTAAGGCCACTGGAAACCAGAGCAAACCAGAATCAGGGACTCCTTGTTATCTCTAGACCGTTAACATATCAGTATAATACCAAAATCCCTACCCACAAAGAAAATTGTCATTTTCTTTCTTTCTCTTTTTATTTTTAATTTTTGTCTTTCTTTTGAGACAGAGTCTCGATCTGTCCCCCAGGCTAGAGTGCAGTGGCTCAACCTCCGCTCACTGCAACCTCTGCCTCCTGGATTCTCCTGTCTCAGCCTCCTGAGTAGCTGGGATTACAGGCGGGTGCCACCACACCTGGCTAATTTTTATAGATAATTGCCATTTTCTAAACATGCGTCCTGTGAAAAGACATGTTTATGATTTTTACCTGCACATCTAAAGTTCTTCCTTGCACAAACATACAAACCTTCCCGCCCCATATCTAACTCCTTAAAATTTCCCAACTTGGCCAGTGGCCATTGTACGATGGCTCATGCCTGTAATCCCAACACTTTGGGAGGCCGAGGTGGGCAGATCACCTGAGGTCGGGAGTTCAAGACCAGGCTGACCAACATGGTGAAACCCCATCTCTACTAAAAATGCCAAAATTAGCCAAGCATGGTGGCAGTCACCTGTAATCCCAGCTACTCAGGAGGCTGAGGCAGGAGAATCACTTGAACCCAGAAGGCAAAGGTTGCAGTGAGCCGAGATCTCGCCATCGCACTCCAGCCTGGGCAACAAGAGTGAAACTCCATCTCAAAAAAAAAAACTTCCGGGCTACTCACAATTTGGGGAGGAGGAGGAGGTGTCTCTGGAGCAAGAGGCCACTCCTCCTTCTCAGGCCAGAGAATAAATCCTGCTTGCCTTTTTTTCCCCTGCAATTTGTGTGTTCTTTCTTTGCAACTGATATAAAGTAGGAAAAGGACTCAGTTTACCCATGACAGTTCTATCACATTTTAAACAGTTACACACCTTCTCAAATCTGTAATGTTTGAGTACATTTTCCTGTCTCATCTGACCTCCTCTGAATGAGCAGCCACTTGTTTAAAGATCCTATTTGGAGGAATTTCTTTCTCCCCTATTTAAATGCTTTTATTACACACAAAGTTTCTACTTTATTTTTTTTAATTATTGCACGCAGAGTCTCAGTCTGTGGCCCATGCTGTAGTACAGTGACATGATCTTGGCTCACTGCAGCCTCAACCTTCTGGGGTCAAGCAATCCTCCCGCTTCAGCATTCTGAGAAGCTGGAACGACAGGTGTGCACTCCCAGGACTGGCAAATTTTTTAAAATTTTTCTGTGGAGACAGGGTTTTGCCATGTTGCCCAGGCTGGTCCCGAGCTTCTGAGTTCAAGCAACCCTCCTGTCTTGGCCTCCCAAAGTGCTGAGACTACAGGTGTGAGCCACCGCACTCAGCCTGCACCTATCTTCGTGTTTCTTACTTGACTCCATTCTCTTCCAATAATGTATCTGTCAGTTCCCTTACTAGGGCTGCTTTAATTACACAGTTTACCACCGCTCTTACTGTCTCCTTGACCACCGGCTTATTTGTGAAGTGTCCATCCCGTGGCCTCTGGGGACTCCTTGTCTCCTGGCTTTCCTCTCCTCCCTACTGCCTCAGTTTAGTCTCCTCGGTGTTGGTGTCCTTCAGGGATCTGTCTTCGGTCCCCTTCCATGTCACTGTACTCTCTCCCTGGGCAGATCCGTGGGTCCACTCTTCCCTTTCCGCCCATTTTCCACGGTGCTCTGACTGAGCTGCACATGAGATTATGTCACACACTGTTTATAAACCCACTTATTGCTCTAAGAGCAAATTCCAGATAGATTCCTTAACACCAGCACATAAGGCTGGACGACATTCAGGTGCAAGTAGCTTGTTTGGGAGGTGACCCAGGAAGAGGAGTGGGGAAGGGAGACAGGGAAGAGAAGGCAGACAACACAGGAAGCATTAAAGAGCAGCTCAGGAGGCCGGGCGCGATGGCTCACGCCTGTAATCCCAGCACTTTGGGAGGCTGAGACGGGCGGCTCACCCGAGGTCAGGAGTTCTAGACCAGCCTGGGCAACATAGTGAAACCCATCTCTACCAAAAATACAAAAATTAGCCGGAAGTGTTGGCAGACGCCTGTAGTCCCAGCTACTCGGGAGGCTGAGGCAGGAGAATCAATTGCTTGAACCCGGGAGGCAGAGGTTGCAGTAAGCCAAGATTGCACCACTGCACTCCAGCCTTGGTGACAGAGCAAGACTCCTTCTCAAATAAATAAATAAAATTTAATAATTAATTAAAGAGCAGTTCACGGATGTGGGCGTCTGGGCTCAGTCCCCCTAGGGCCCTCTGGAGCCTGCCTAGACGTGCCTCAGAGTTGTCCCACCTGAGGGGAAAATTGGGGTATTTAACCAGCAGTCCCTCAGGCTTGGAGCCTCTGTTCTCTGAGAGCCACAGTCTCTCTCTCCCACCCTCCCCACCTTCCTTTTCCTCCTCCTTCCCTCCTCCCCTTGGCCCTTGATGCCATGTTTGTTTATGGCCCCGCCCACAGCCATAGCTGATTGGGCCACAGATAAAGAACTAGGCCAATCAGATTCATTCCCCTTTACTCCGGAAATGGGCAGGGCATCTGGGCTTGCATTTGAGCTGTGGACACTTCACTTCAAGAGCCTTGCTGGACCACGTGTCCTGGGAGAAACAGAGGAAACCAGTGTTTAGGAGACTTGCAATGTGCGCACAAAGAAATAGAGGCTGGCTTCAGACCATGCAGCTTCAGACAAACTGAAAGAGCAACCTCAGTAGGAGACAGTTTAGTTTCTGATTCTATTAATAGGTTCTCATCTCATGAGGTTGGGCCACGTTTCCTGCACTTGAGGTCTGTGAGATAAGTGTTTCCTCAAAAACACCTCCCTTTTCTGCTAAAGAATGTCACTTGATTTTCTGTAAATTGTAAACACACGCACATGCAATCCCCAATCTCCATTCCTTCACACCTGGCTTCCTACTCCATAAAGAAACAGACCACCATTCTCAGCATCCCACTTAGTACATCGTAATCTCTGAGTGGCTCAAATGCTTCCATCTTCTCTATATCCTTGCAACACACACACACACACACACACACACACACACACACACACACACACATTTTTCCTTGACTCCATTAAAAACCATTCTTACCTCTCTCCTATAGGAAAATCAGTCCATGGCCAGGCGTGGTAGCTCACGCCTATAATCCCAGCACTTTGGGAGGCCGAGGCAAGTGGATCACTTGAGGTCAGGAGTTCAAGACCAGCCTGGCCAACACGGTGAAACCCCGTCTCTACTAAAAAATAAAAAAAGTAGCCAGGCATGGTGGTGCGTGCCTGTAATCGCAGCTACTCAGGAGACTGAGATGGGAGAATCGCTTGAATGCCGGAAGGGCGGAGGTTTTAGTGAGCCAAGATCGTGCCACTGCACTCCAGCCTGGGTGACAGAACGAAACTCCGTCTCAAAAAAAAAAAAAATGTAGTCCATGCCTGCTGTCTGCACTCTCTCCCCTCATTGGTCCTTCCTTGCACTATTATTTTGTGGGAAGGTGTTTCATTTTGAAGATGTGATTGGAAGTGTCTGTGGAATATATAGATTGATAGACTACACAAGGGTGGAGCTCAGAACTCAGATGTGGTCTGGAGATACAGATTTAGCATTTAGTGATTTAAAAAGTAATGAACACATATGGTAGAAAAAAATTCAGACACAAGAATGGTGATAAATAAATCTCTTGTCAAATACTAACTAATTCCCCCAGCTCCCTTCCCAGAGACCACCTTGTGTATCTTCCAGATGAGCCATCTTCATGGGCATGGGACCTGTGCAGTCATATAGAGATCCACACTTAGAAGGAAACTGAATTCATTCAATGCTTTGCTGTCACCATTTTCAAATTCCTAATTTTTGAAAAAGGGACCCCACATTTCATTTTGCCCTTGGCCTTGCAAATTATATGGTAGATCCTGTTCCCTGCTATATTCCATGCATCATTAAACATGTAATATACATATATGCCCCTTCCTTTCACCTGCTTTTCTTTTAGCATTTTTTTTCTTTCTTTTTTTTTTTTTTTTTTTTTTCTGAGGCAGAGTCTCTCTCTCTGTTGCCCAGGCTGGAGTGTAATGGCGTGTTCTTGGCTCACTGCAACCTCCGCCTCCTGGGTTCAAGCGATTCTCCTGCCTCAGCCTCCCGAACAGCTGGGATTATAGGCACCCACCACCATGCCCAGCTAATTTTTGTATTTTTAGTAGAGATGGGGTTTCACCGTGTTGGCCAGGCTGGCCTCAAACTCCTGACCTCAGGTGATCTGCCTGCCTCAGCCTCCCAAGGTGTTGGGATTACAGGTGTGAGCCACCATGCCCTGCCTGATTATTCTTAAAACAATGTGTGTGAATGAAATTTCCCAGGGAGAAGATCCAATAATCATTAGCGCCGTTCACTAAATTTTTCTGTTTCTGGATACGTGGGGGAGGTACGTGGGGATTGTACTTCCTTGCTCCCTAGTGGTTGGGTAGAACCAAGTGATTACTTTTGACCAATGAGTGATATGAGTAATGAGTAGAAGTGAATGCATTTCCAGGTCAAAGCTTTTATATATATATACGTATATATTCTTTCCATCACGAGGTCAGAACATTAAACTGCTGCTGTGAGACTCTCCAGAGTTCTCATTAAAGAGTTCAAGACAGTGGCTGTTCTGTTAGCCTCGATCTCTGAGTGATTACAGACAGCAGAGACTTCTGGGAGACCCAGACCCGCATGTAGTGTGGGTGAGAATTAAATCATCACTGTTATAAGCCATGAAACTCTGAGAATGCTGTGTTATTGCAGCATAATCTGTCCTATCCTGATAGAAACATAAAAAGTGCTGAGAGACAATTTGCTGGAACTGATACTTACAGGGAGAGGAGAGCCAGAGAAAGAGAAGACAAAGGTTGGATGCTCATGCCTATAACCCCAGTAATTTGGAAGGCTGAGGCAGGAGGATCACTTGAAGCCTGGAGTTCAGTACCACCCTGGGCAGCATATCAAGACACTATCTCTACAATTTTTTTTTTTTTTTAAATTAGCCAAGCTTGGTGGCATGTGCCTGTGGTCCCAGCTACTCAGGAGGCTGTGGCAGGAGGATCACTAGAGCCCACAAGTTTGAGGCTGCAGTGAGCTATGATCACACCACTGCACTCCAGACTAGATGACAGAGCAAGACCCAGTCTCTAAAAATAAATCAATTAAATTAATTTTTAAAAAAAGAAAGATAAGATAAAGAGTCATAGAAGTATAAATGAGAAACCAGGAGAACATAGGACCCAGGAGAGCAATGGAAACCAAGGGAAAAAACTGGTCCGAGAAGCAGAAAGTGGCCAGTGACACTGAATGCATCCAAGAGATCAAGTAAAATAAGGAGTAGAATATATTCACTAAGTCTGGCAACTGAGAAGTCTTTGGTAACCTCATTGAGAACAGAATCCTTGCAGTGGTGGAGGTGGCAGTGGTGAAATAGTGGATAAGGACTGAAGCAGTGGAGAGGGGACAGCATGAGGGATCAGTGCAAGAGTTTAGCAGAAAGACAAGAAAACAGTCTGGGTGTGGTAGCTTATGCCTGTAATCCCAACACTTTGGTAGGCTAAGGTGAGCGGATCGCTTGTGACCAGGAGTTCAAGACCAGCCTGGCCAACATGGTGAAACCCCATCTCTACTAAAAATACAAAAATTACCCGAGTGTGGCTGGCACACGCCTGTAATCCCAGCCACTTGGGAGGCTGAGGCATGAGAATCTCTTGAACCCAGGAGGCAGAGGTTGCAGTGACCCAAAATCGTGCCACAGCACTCCAGGGTGGGTGACAAAGGGAAATTCCATCTAAAAAAAAAGAAGAAAAGAAAGAAAGAAAGAAAGACAAGAAAATAGCTGTCTTTTAGTGGTAGCAAGAGCAACACTGAAGTGATTTGCCTATTCTGGACATTTCCTATAAATAGAGTCATAAAAGATATCCTTTTGTGTCTGGCTTCTTTCACTTAGCGTAATGTTTTCAAGGTTCATCTATGTTGGAGCATGGGTCAGGGCTTCATTCCTTTTTACGGCTGAATAATGTTCCCCCGTATGGACAGACTCCCTTTTGTGTATCCATCCATCAGTGGATGGACACTTGACATGTCTGCCTGTTTATGGTGCTCTTGGGAATGAGTGAATGAATGAGGGAATAGCATAAACAGAGCTGTGCAAGGTCACAGAGCTGGGAGGATGTGGAGCCAGGATTGGAAGCCGGGCCATTAGTCCCCTAGAGCCTATGTTCTAAGCATCAGGCTTTACCTGTGAATCTCCTCTTTTTACAGATGGAGATGACCGTATCACTCAGATTCCCAGCAGGAAAGCAATGGCATCCTCAAGTGGGTAACTAATGATGGGGGCATTTACAAAGCTGTAGGCAGAGTTAAGAAAAAAGCAATAAGGGATAGTGAGCTGCCTGGGGCTGGCAAGAGTGGAGAGCCCTTACCACTCCCAGGACTAAAGGAGGGAGTGGTGGCCAGAAGCCCCGCCTATATGCAACTGAGAAGGGCGGGGCCAGGGAGTCCTGTCCATCCTCACTGCTCTCCAGTTTCCTGAACTGGAAGCCAGAGGGTAAGGGGGAACCCTGATGCTTTTGGATGGGTAGGAAAGCACAATTCACTCAGACTGAAAAAGTAAAAATCTACCCAGCCACATAGCAGGCTAGAGTAACAGAAATGGACCATGCCAGCTGCAAAAATAACAGGGAACACTATTTCTCTGTAGCTATAAAGTAATAATACAACCCTGCATCTTTAAGCGACTGCTGAAACATTGTCCTTTAAAATCACAGACCTGCAGAAACTTTGCTGTTTGAGATTACATGACTAAGACTGAAGTATTCCAATTTTGCCTGGAGGACCTAAGTTGTCTTGACAAAGAGAAGCAGCCTCAGCTTACAACTCAGGAGCAGAGCTGCAGATAAAGCGTTTCTGGACACATTTGACATATATCTTAGTGATGTTGCTTTCAAGGAAACAGGGCCCTGGGACCCTTTTGCAATCCAGATTTGAAGATGACTGCTTTGTACAAACCTGCTTTGCTTGGAGTCTTTCAAAACAGGACTTCATTTAGATTTTATCTAAATTCCACTTTCCTGGGAATCCTTTAATACATTGCTGTATTCCTTTGGTGATATGCTGTGGCTCTTCTGGTGGGTGGTGTCCCTCACTGAATAGGTCAAGAAACCTAACTCTGTTGGACTGCCACTGTGTTCTTGGTCGTCTTGGGCTGACTGGTCTAGGTCATGGGTTGAGCTTCCACGGCATAGGGCAGGGTGGAGAGTAACTCAGAGGGTCAGGCACGAAAAAGCCGGCAGACAAATTAAGCCCCTCCACCCCCATCACCCTCACCCTTGCAAATCTAATTTCCCCCGCCAACTGCAGACCAGACCGGGCGGTGGAAGAAGAGAGGGAGACCTTCCTTTACCCAGAGCTCCTATACATCAGGGGCTGAATAAAGGGCTGTAGAAATGAATGAATCAATCTGAGTGGGGCTTGAGGCAATGGAAAGATCTCAGCCCTTTTCTCAGGCACAGTGAAAGCCCCAGGTCTTGGGACATTTGCAGGGCTGCCCCTTTCTCCCAACAGAAATGAGCCCAAAAAAGCAAAAGGAAAGGGGAGAAAGGGAGAATTCTAAAAATGCCCATCCTCTGAACACTGTCTTTGTGTAGGCATCTGGGGGAGGCCAGCTGGGGCGAGGTCATCTGCCAGCCTGGCCCCGTAAGATTTGGTCCTTCTTGTTTATTGCAGCCACATCTGGGGCAACTGCCAGGGCCCGCCCTTACTCTGCAGTCATTGGAGGAGCTCAAAGTTAAAGGCTCCTACTAAAAATCAGTACGTTTCATTTTGCAGTTACTGGGAGGGGGCTTGCTGTGGCCCCATCTGGGATAGCTGAGCCCTGGTCCAGCCCCGCGCAGGGAGGGAGCCTGTCACCATGCCGGCCTGCTGCAGCTGCGGTGATGTTTTCCAGTATGAGACCAACAAAGTCACCCGGATCCAGAGCATGAATTATGGCACCCTTAAGTGGTTCTTCCACGTGATCGTCTTTTCCTACGTTAGGTAAGTGGGATGCGGGGAGGACCCCAGACCTCTGCAGTGATTAACAGCACAGTAAGCCCCAGGGGGCAGCTTCAGGTGCGCATTCTGAATCTCACATGGTTTTGGAATCTGAGACGCTCTCTCACAGCAAGCTGGGCGCGAGGGCGGAAGTAGCTGCAGGATGAAACGGCGCCGCGGCCGGGCTGCAGCAGAGAGAAGCCGCGGCCGGCGAGTGGGATTCCTTTCTGCTCTACTCCGGGCCGGCCCGGGCGAGCAGGGCAGGGCGTGGCTGGGGAAGGTGGGAAAGCTCAGGGCAACACGCTGGATTCCCGGAGAGGAGGCAAGGATCTCGGGGCACGCCTGTTGATCATGCTCTCATCTGAGTCACCGTGCTTGGGAGGAATAGGACCAGGCTTGAAAATGTATTATAACTTTAGGTCACCAATGTCAGGAAGACACTGCTTATTGGTTTATATTTTTTCTAAAAGAAACTTACCGAGATGTAATTTACACACCATACAATCCACCCATTTAAAGGATACAATTTAATGGTTTTTTGAATTATTCAGAGTTGTGCAACCATCCCCACAATTAATTTTAGAATATTTTCATCCACTCAAAAATTTCTCACTCCTTCGCCACCATTTCCAGCACTGTTCCTCCTCCTTCCCACCCATGAATTCACTTTCTGCCTCTATGGATTCGCCTATTCTGGACATTTTCCATAAATGGAATCACACAATATGTGGTCCTTTGTAGCTGGCTGTTTTCACTTAGCATGTTTTCAATGCTCACTCGTCTTGTAGCATGTGTTGATACTTCATTCAATTTTTTTTACGAGACGGGGGTCTCACTATGTTGCCCAGGCTGATCTCAAACTCCTGGACTCAAGTCTGCCTACCTCGGCCTCCCAGAGTGTTAGGATTACAGATATGACCCATTGTGCCCGGCGTATACGTCATTCCTTTTTATGGCTGAGTCATATTCCGTTGCATGGAGAGACCACCTTTTATCCACTCGTTCATCCCTTGATTATCGGGAGCACGTCTGCCAGGAGCTCTCCACCTGCAAGAGGGTTCCAACTTGGATAGGGGGGTGCGCGGAAGACAAAGAATGATAGACAGATGGGGTCTGGAGGGTTGAAAAGCATATGCTTTACCAACAACTTTATTCATGCTCAGGGTCAGTATATATATCTTTTTTAGGTATGTGTCTACGTGAGACAAAGGGGTACAGAAAGTTTTAAAGTAGAAAAATCAACATCATAGGGTCAGGACAATGGAAAGGTCAGATACACAATTAACCGGAACAGGTAGTCACACTATCTCATCTAGGGGCAAGTCATTTAATTAACCAGAACAGGTGGTCACACTATCTCATCTAAGGGTAAGTCATTTATCTTCTAGAGAAAATCAGCAAAGTCATAAAACATGACTTAGTAGAAAACTCAATTATCGTACACAATGCATCTCATGACTGCATGGCCATCTGGCGATTGCCCACAAGTTTAACTTTAACCTAAGTCTTTCTCTGTTCCTGCTTTCCGATAGCTCGACTCCCTCAACTGGAGACACTGTGTCTGGGCTCGAGCCCTCCGTATTGTGAGGCCCATTTTCGGGGGGCCTCACACGGGAGCGATCCCCACACTTGATGGACATTTGGGTTGTTTCTCCTTTTTGGCAATCATGAATAATGCTGCACAAACATTTGTGTACAAGGTTTTATGTGGATATATATTCTCCGTTCTCTTGAGTACGTACCTAAGAGTGGAACTGCTGGGTCGTATGTTAACTACGTTTCACCTTCAGCGGAACTGTGGACTGAATGTCACAGCAGCTGCAGGTTTTTACATCCCCATCAGCAGAGCATGAGGGGTCCAATTTCTCCACATTGTCACCAACGCTTGTTATCGTCTGTCTTTTTGTGGTTTTTTGTTTTTGTTTTTCGAGATGAAGTCTTGCTCTGTTGCCTAGGCTGGAATGCAGTGGCGCAATCTTGGCTTGCTGCAACCTCCACTTCCCCAGCTCGAGTGATTCTCCTGCTTCAGCCTCCTGAGTAGCTGGGATTACAGGCATACGTCACCACTCCTGGCTAATTTTTGTATATTTAGTAGAGACAGGGTTTCATCATGTTGGCCAGACTGGCCTCGAACTCCTGACTTCAAGTGATCTGCCTACCTCAGCCTCTCAAAGTGCTGGGATTACAGGCATGAGCCACTGTGCCTGGCCGATTGTCTGTCTTTTAAATTCTAGCCATGCTAATGGGTGTGAAGTGGTAGTTCTCTGTGGCTGCGATTTGAATTTCCCTGACGGTGAGTGCCTCTTATTCTCTGTGCTGATTGATAATGATGATGGAGGCAATTTGTATCTATAGAGGGTGGCAGTGTAGTTTACTAAGAGTTGGGCCAACTTATTTCATAATACTGGCTATGTCTTCCTGGGCCAAGTCATAAACTTCTCTGAGCGTCAGTTTCTGCATCTGTTCATAGGGTTGTGACAATTAAACAAAAAAAAGCATGAGCAGCCCTTGTTATGGTGACTGACATAGGATAAGAGCTCCATAACTGGTATCTATTTTTAAAAATAATCATTTTGAGGCTGGGTGCGGTGGCTCACGCCTGTAATCTCAACACTTTGGGAGGCCGAGGCGGGCGGATCGCTGGAGGTCGGGAGTTTGAGACTAGCCTGGCCAATATGGTGTGACCCTGTCTCTACTAAAAATTCAAAAATTTGCCAGGCATAGTGGTGTGCACCTGTAGTCCCAGCTACTTGGGAGGCTGAGGCAGGAGAATCGCTTGAACCTGGGAGGTGGAGGTTGCATTTAGCTAAGATCTCACCACTACACTCCAGCCTGGGCAAAAAAAAAAAATTTTTTTTAAAAAAAAAAAAAAAAAAAAAAAAAACCTTTTTGATTATATAATAGTATATGTATGTGTATAAAATACATGTATGTATTTTTATATACATCCTCTGGTCTGAGCCTCAAAGTAACCACATATAAGCTCAGGATTTGAGATGTGGAAATGTGGATTGAAAAATCCTTCACTTCTTTGAGCCTTGGTTCCCTCATGTGTAAAATGAGGAGAATTGTTAATAGGAATATTAAATGAACTAATACATGCCGAGCTGTTTGAGAAATATATGGCATATATTTTTGTTAGTTCCCTTATTGTTATTTCTTATTATTAATAATGCTATTAGGATTATTATTATTTGATTCATATGTTCACTGTTTAACAAATATTGAATACTAAACACATATGCTGGGCTGGACACGGTGGCCTGTGCCTGTATTTCCAGCACTTTGGAAGGCCGAGGCGGGCTGATCACTTGAGGTCAAGCATTTGAGACCAGCCTAGCTAAGGTGGTGGAAACATCATCTCTACTAAAAATACAAAAATTAGTTGGATGTGTGGGTGGGTGCCTGTAGTCCCAGCAACTCAGGAGGCTGAGGCAGGGGAATCACAGGAACTCGGGAGGTGGAGCTTGTAGTGAGCTGAGATTGTGCCGTTGCACTCCAGCCTGGGTGACAGAGCAAGACTCCATCTCAAATAATAATAATAATAAAAAATTTCTAAAAACAGATTACTATGAGAACACCTTATAATGATAAATATTTTTCTTTCACATGGTGAAATCGTAACTTACATGTATTTAACTCCCCCAAATTCAGTTATACATGTTCCACATGGACATGGAGAGAGAGGCCTCCCAAAGTGCTGAGATTACAGGCTTGAGCCGCCGCAATAACACAATGATGCAGCAACCCTGGGGTGGGTCTGAGATGCGATACTTGCATCTGGGCTTCCCTCCATCAATCTCCGTTCCCACGTGCTTCTCACAGAGCGAGCATCTTGCTGCTCTACTTATTAATATAGGTACATATTTTTCAGCCACGTGACCCCTAAAATAAGTCAACTCCTTCACCTTCACCTGGAGCAAAACTGTAAAAACAGCAACTTGTTCCGGAGCTGGAGGAAAAATTGGCTCCAGCAGACCCAAGTGGGGAGTGTTTGCTATGCTTTGTGGACAATTTAAGGATTTATCAAAGGCAATTTTGATGAGCCATGATTTTCATCTTAAGTGCCGACCTTAGAGGATAAGCTGCGTATTAAAGTTTCTCCACTGTTTGTATTTTAAAATATAAAATGGAAGAAAAAACTAATGCCAGCTTTGCTTTTTTCCTCTTGGTTAATGGACTATTAAGATCTCCCCAAATGGCCAAATGGAGCCTCATAGTACACAATTTCGGAAATGCTGCCTTAAGTTGTACTGTGAAGCTTTAAGTTCGTGTAACCATGACTTAGCCATCTGTGGAATGGGTAGACCCAAGGGGCGTAGGGATTGGGGGAAGTAGTTAGCATCAAGTAGGACTGGTGTGGACCATAGGTGGAAATCCAGACAGGCTCGAGCAATGCTCAGGACACTGCAGCAATTCACTGGCCAGCTGTCCCTCCTGGGGCTGGAAGGACTAAGAGCCAGGATAAGGCTACAGGGCCTCAGTTGTTGAAAATGGGATACAAAGCAGGGACTGATTATGGAGGAAATTAGCCAAGAGGCTGTTCAGCTTCTCCTGTTCTCACAACCAAGTTCAGATCTGGAGTCAGAGGCAGGGATGCCCCTGTAAGAGGAGTTTGTGAGCAGGTCTGTGTTAGCCAGGATTGTTTAGGCAGTGACAGAAACTCAACTTACATTAACCACAAAGCCTCAATGGGGAATTTATTGGATCATGTAACTGGGCAGTTGAAGAGATGGTGCTGTCCTCGGACGTGGATGAAGATAAGAGTTCAAACTATGTCATCAGAGCTGATCTCTCTTCCTACACGTTGGCTCCATTTGCTTCTATTTGGCTTCCTTCTTGAGCAACTCTTATGTAGCAAGATACTCTTACATTCTCTTCTTTCAGCAACCTCGGAGGAGCAAACAAGTCTTTCCTGATAGCTCTGATAGGAAAGTCCCAGGAAAGACCGGATTGGTCAGGTGTGAGTTACAGATCCATCCCTGAACCAATCACTGTGACCA